AATATTATTGTTAGTGGTGTTGATAAACCATATGGCGAAGTAGAATAGATCATTTTTTGTAAGAATAAATATTATTTTAATATAATATTTAGGATTATTGGCGAGAAATTCAAATTGGTGATCAAGTTAAACTTCGTTGGTTTCGATCATGTTTGCGGTAATCAAGACTATTTAGTTAGATATATTTAGAAAGGCGCCTAAAATATTTTCACTACAGAACAGGATCTATATAAGAGATTAGAGATAGATTTCCTCTATCTAACGATGTATGCATGACCAAGTTCAGAGATCTGTCAGGTGGACGGGGCGATCGTGGAAGTGGTCCAACAAAAAGTTTTTCACTCACCCCCCGAGTCATCACTCTTCGAAACGCACCTGACTAAATTCTACTACTTACTATTAATACGTCAATAGATGCACCACCTTTGCTCTACTCTATCATGGCATGAACGAAGGTGAGGCTGCCTATTGATATGTTAATGATACGCAGAGAACCTGGTAATGTATATATTGTTAGATAGAGGAGCTCTGTTGCTACAAACCTATATATATATTCCGTTCTGCAGTCAAAAGCTATCGGAAAACTTAGAATCGTGTTTTGAAGTCTAATTTAGATGCTTATTAACAACTATTAACCAAGAAACAGGTATTCGTGATCCTAATCAAGAACCATGGAAAACACTTCAAACGTAATTTAAAATATCTTATTTTTCTGTATATTTTATCATTTTTCTGTTGGTGAAAATGGTATAATTTGTGTTCATGTTTTGCGAGAAGATAAAAACTTTTAATTTTGTATTCTAGTTTGGTTCATCGAGCAATGAATTCATTTCTAAGTTTTTTTATCAAGTAGAGTGAAACTAGATAGACATTACTTGGAGAGAGGTTTTGGAAAGGATGATATTAATACATAACATTTTCTTTTTTATAATTAATCGAAGAATTTTTACTTCGGATCTGACAAAATTGTCAATTCGGTTAATTTCTTTGTATTTAATTTATATTTATGCACTTGATTTGCATATAACTAAAGAAGGATGCTTTAATGGAAAAATTTCTTCAACTATTTTGAACTCCTTGCCACGAAACGAAAGGACTTTCAGGCAGTTTATCGTCAAAGCATATAGCATCTGGATGTTTTTATAGAAAGTAACTAAGTACAGATGATTCGAACTGACAATTTTTGGAATGACGTCGAATATTTCTCGATGAAAGCAATCATTTGTGAACATTCATTCACTTTCATATGAATTTCACTAACGAAAGAACTCACCCAACTAATAACCACCGTTTCAGCTCAGATGTTGTCCATAATTAGCGCTCATACTTTAGATAAAAACTGTAAAAGGGTTCGTCCTATTAGATCTTTCTTTTCAGTTTTATTATATTTCGAAAGTATCAGGGTGTGGGAGTGGGTGCACTGCGTAAAAAGATTAACAACCACACCTTCACTCACATTTCGGTACATCCACATCAACACCTAATACAAAGCATTCAAAGAACTGATTGGATAATTTCTGAGAAATAATCAGTGCCAGATAATAAGGTTCTACAATATGCAATCATGTGAAATACGCAGAAGTGTTAATTGCAGTAAAAAAAAATATGATCGATTGTATAAGGTAATTCTTCATAAGTGACCCTACCTATATAACTTGGTTATTCTGCCATGTGTTTGAATGATTGTCAAATATTGAAGTATAGTGATAGAAAACGAACGAGGAATATTATGAGCCAGTTTCAAAAATAACGGTATAAGCTTCATCTTTTGCTCAGACAATATTTTTGCACTTGTCTAATCAGATGCTTAGTTTTTTCATAGTTTTGATTGTTATATTTTTTAAGAAAAAATGCTCCTCTACTTCGACCTAAATTGACTTGTTTAACAATTTCTACAGATTCTAATATTACAACTAAACTTTCATTGTCATAATAAATTCAAGCATGTATAAACAATATATCTAAAATTGTATGACAAACACGGGTTATGAAGTACATCTAGGTACAAGTTCATCTACGAAAACAATATTGTATACTAGCCAGAAAACCATTTACTGTTGATCATTTTTTAGAAATAATTCCACGATATTAGCCAAAAGAAGAGAACATCTATAGTGTATATATGACAACCAACTTTGCTCAATTATTTTTCAGATTCTCGGTTATAATCAACGGAAGTTGCAGCCGAATGTTAGTAAAAAAGCCACTAAGATGAGTTTCGAAGTGTAGTTTATCATCAATCGAAGAAATATGAAATGAAAACATCGGTGGAATCCTATGAGGCACATGCAGCTCGAAGTTTTTTGTAGATATTTGTGTTTTTAAATAGATTGATTCTTTTGAGGGTTTCATTGAGAAGATCGAGCCTTCTAGTCTGGGTAGAGCCTAGTGCCAAATGTTGAACGAGAGTCACCGTTATTCGATCTATGAAGACTTCGTTCGGATTTTTTATCTTCACGTCGAATGAGATGTTACGACAAATAATAAATTACTTATTCTATTGAACAAGAATCAAAATAAGCATAAACAGCTATTAACAATGTACTAGCATATTTATCGTAAGTCTAATTCGTTTTATTTCTCAATAATATAAACAATCATTTCGATCACATGGTTCTTTTTTCTATTTTTCTTTATTAATAGATTTCCCCATATGTGTTGTTACTCACATACAAGTAAGTTTTCTTTTCATTATATTCGTTCGTTTTTTATGATTAAATATGTATGAGATATCATCAATAGTGTTTTTCCCTATTATCTTTATTACAAGGTTATTTTTCTCAACGATGAAACTATTCAAGAGAAACATGACTCATGTATACAAAAAAACAAGAACTTGAAGTTTCTTTCCATCGGTCATAACTTGTATGGTCTAGCTATCGTAACATTAAACTAGACTTGCAAGAGAAATATTCTAAAGATTATTGTTTGTTTTTCTCAAAAACAAAAACTAACTCATTTAGAGATAAGTTATTTGTTCTTCACATAGTACATAGAATATCATTTTATTATTATCTAATTGTATTTAGTAAATATGTAAAATCTTTCATGAATCGATTTTAGTAGCATTCTTCTTATATCCTGTTATATTAACCTTTTGAGAACGGGAGACGTATATATACGTCCAGTTTTCATTAAACTCGTTATTGACTTGTTCACATCTTATATGATATTGTTATGACCTTTAGTTGCACAAGAACCGTCAGCCTGTTACACTGTTATCCATATGGTAACCTTATTCACTTTTTTTCTTGTGCCGTTACACACATTACTTCTGATTTTTTCCTCTACGTCATCTTCCACTGATTTCATATACGATTTATTTTTCACTTTTCCTCTCATAGTTCTCTCTTTATATCTATATATGGCAGTGTGGGTGTGGATGGGTTTTAGTGTAGTTAAGTGAAGAAAAGACCCACTTTCAGACCCTCCCGACTTCAGATACTTTATATAAGCATAAGATTGGAAAAATTGTTCAATTTTCTAACTTACGATTACTGCTACCTCGTGTAATGATTGAGACGTATGCAAAGTAAAAAGCATCCACAGATCAACCCGATATGGAAGACAATCCAGTCAGACATAGTGGTTGCCATTTTCCATTATCTGTTCCTACAATATCGGTAAAACGAAATGTCCTACGAAAATGCGTACTTTGTGCAAAACCAACAATAAAAGCTAAAACGAGGACTCATTCTATACATGAATGTACAGAATATGATGACAGACTTTATATTTCTAGTTGTTTTCAAGATTATTATACTCTAAAATGCTTCCAGAAATTTTTTCATATCGATATGAATGAAAAAAAAAATCCTATTAGACTTTTCAAAATTTTTATTTTCTTAAAAGTAATTTCGTGTCCTCAAGGTTTTATTATGAAATAACAGCCTTCGAAATCAATAAGTCACACCGATATGACTATTTAATCTCAACTAACGGCTCTTACTGATATGGAAACAAATAAAATTCAGAGAAAGAAAACGTGAAACGTCATTTTCGTAATAAAAAATCCCATCGTGAATACATGGGACAGAATATTGCGGCTTACTATTATCATTATTGAAGTGATCGAGGGACAAAAAAGTAAAATTGTATTATGACTCATGTACACTGTACGATGTATATTAAGGTTATGAATGAAGAAGAAACACCTATAGATTAGAAATTATTCATATCTATGATATTACAGTGATGCGTTTTATCATATTTTTCTTCATGCCTTTTCTTTGTGAAAAAGTAACTGGAAAAATATTCTTATGTAATCCAAATGCTACATGTGGATGTTCTACTTCATTCACTCTTATAACACGTATTATTGGTGGTGAAAGTGCATCACACCATGCTTGGTCATGGGCTGTTTCTCTTCGTTCTTCTGGAGATCATTTTTGTGGAGGAACAGTTCTTTCACCATCATTCATTATTACTGCTGCTCATTGTTTTGAGATGAATACTGATGTAACAAATATTACTATTGTTGCTGGATCATCGACTTTAAATACTTCATCAAATGATACATCTCAAACTCGTTCAATTGCTAAACTTTACATACATCCTGATTATGACTCTTCTATATCGACAAATGATGTGGCTATTCTTCGCTTGTCTGCTCCATTAAATATGTCAAACGAAAATATCAAACCAATCTGTTTACCATCTGGTATTGTTTCTCAACCACAAGATAATATTGGTATGGTCGCTGTAGGATGGGGTTCAACATCAGCATCGACAATTAATCTTTCTTCAACTCTTCTTCAAGTCACATTACAAAGCGTACCAACTACAGACAATGGATGCCGAGTGGTTATTGCTGATAGTACAGTACAATTTTGTGCTGGAATACAAACTGGTGGTAAAGGTAATGCATCAATTTTAAACTTCTTCACTTATATCAATAAGTTTTTCTGTTTAAAGATACTTGTCAAGGTGATAGTGGTGGACCATTAATGGCATATGTTGATAATGTTTGGCAACTTTATGGTATCACATCTTATGGCTATCAATGTGCATTTCCTGGCATTCCAGCAGTCTACACTCGAGTTACTCATTATATAGACTGGATTAAATCTATCATTTCACCCACGGAGGTTAGAAAGAAAACTACTAGCACAACTAAAAAACCAACAACAAAGATGGCTACCACAAGGAAAAAACCAACAACAAAGATGGTTACCACAAGGAAAAAACCAATAATAACAAAGATCACTGCAAGGAAAAACCCAATAAGAACTACGGCTAATATAGGAAAAAGAGAAATAAAAGCTACGACTCCAATGAGTGAACAATCAATAACAACTAAAATGGTACACTCATCGTTTGAAACATCAATTAATGGTAAACATTCAAGAATCGAACCAAGTTTTTTAATAATTCTTCTGCCATTTATAACTTGTATATATTCATTGCTTTTGCCAGTTATTGTCTAATATTTTTATTTTAATATCATTTACTGAACAATAGAGCATTAAAATCTGACATAAATAATATATTTTATGTTAGTGAAACAAAAAGATTTTTTTTTTCGTTATATTTATTTGCACTGTCATTTCAAACTTTGTTTCTATGTCACAATAAAAAATAATTCAAAGCTAAACACTTCAGTCTAAAAAGGATTTATTTTCTGTTTGAAAAAAATCCTTATCTAAAAGATGGTAAACATATATAATGAAATGACTTGCATTTAATATTTCATCAGTGATAAATACCAAACATTAATTAAATGATTTCAACTATTCATCTGCACGTTTGTTTTTTTATCAAGAAGAAGAAATATGTGTCCGACAAAATTGAGATAGAGACAAAATAAAATAGATTTTTTGAAACTTTTTCTTATACTTAAACTCTATCATAGAATTAAGGTGTGGGGTGTGCCAACAATACCGGTTATAATAGTAAATAATGTTGAACATTCACATGAAGCATTTGTATTACATTGGTATATTGTTCCATTTTGTTTCTTATAAATAAAAACGACGAAGATAAATATGATAAGACGTCTCATTATGACAGTACAAGAAGAAATGGTTTCTAAACTATAGATTTTTTTCTTCAATATTGATGTCAATATACTTTGTACGATGTTGATGAACTTTTCAATTTGTCGATTACTCAGAGGACGATTAATGTCAACTGAAATATTTCGTCCTTTGTATTCACGATTAGATTAGTTATTATTAGAAAAGCATTTTACTTTTGTTATTTAAGTGTATTTGTTTACATACCAATGAGATTTATTAGTTGGGATCAGATAATCATATCGATGCAAACCATTGTTTTTGAAGCTTTTTGTGTCATATAAATATAACTTAGTATGAAAAGAAGGCCACAGAATCCATTCTAACAACGTTTTGCATGTTTGCTAAAAAATATAAGAAAATAATAAAATGATATTGAGCGCACTATGTTAGAGACAAACGATTTTCATCTAAATCAATGCGATTTTGTTTTCAATAAATAATAAAAGGAAATATTCAGAATATTTTTCTTCAAAGTCTAGTTTGATATCACGACAATTAGATCACATTACTATGCTCAACTGATGCAATATTTTATGTCATGTTGCTTATATAGATAAATCGTGTTTCTTTTGAATAGTTTCATAATTGAGAGCAATCACGTTACACAAAAAAAAAAAAGATAAAAGAAAAGCAAAAGCACTATTGATGAATCCTTTTATATACGTTTAATGATGAAGACAAAAATAGAATGAAAACAGTGCTTACTTTTATGATTATAAAAGAGAAATATAGAAAAGAAACAAAATATAATGTATGACAAAAACCTCCACCTACTCAATATGATCAATAGAACAAAAAAAAGGAAACATGTGATCGAAATGATTGCTTATATTATTGAAAAACAAATCGAATCAAAATTTCGATAATTATGCTAATGCATTGATGATAGATTTTCATATTTTTATTTTTTTTTTCTTGCTCCATTGAATAGGTAATTTATGATTATTCGTTAAAACGGAATTAAATTGGTATCGATAAAAAGAGAAAAAAAAATTATAAGTCAGAACACTCACGAGATCTTTTGCTTTTTTTTCTGCTTGCCTAATAGAATAATGAAGTGTGAAAAAGTTCTTAATCGATAGGTCCTATATCCCTCTGGACAAAAATAGTTAGACTCGGTATTTCGAATATATTTCCACTATAAGACCACACTTTTTTAAAAGTAATTACATATTCTGAAAGCCCGTGGAGTTTTCTATCACTCTGTATAATTAGATTTTAGTTTCGATCTATTCATTATCAAAATAAATTGAGAACAATGAAAGCACCCTCATGTTCAGATTCCCATAAACTTGATGTGTCACTGTCGTCAAAATTAGTTTTTTAAATTTTTTATCACTATAGTACCATCTTTTGAGAAAAGTAATTATGTATTCTGATAGAGCTTGAAAATTCTCTATCATCCTGTATATTTATTTATTTTCTTATATTGATTTATTTAAAAAAAAATTTGAGTGCAATGAACACATCGTGAATCGACAGGCACCAAAAATCTGCATTTTTTTCGCTATTTAAATTCAAGACACTACATTAAAACATAGGATGATAGAGAATTTCAAGCGCTATCAGAATATGTAATTTCTTTTGGAAAAAATTATTCCTATAGGAATAATAATTCGAGAGAAAACTAAAAAAAGTTGCGAAAAAATGCAGATTTTTGATACTTGTCGATTGAGGGTGCGTTCATTGTACTCAAATTATTGTTCAGCAAATAAATGTAAGGCAATAGCTAAATATATGGGATGATAGAGAATTTCAAGCTCTATCAGAATATATAATTACTTTTTTTTAGAAGGATATTTCTATAGTCGAAAAGTTTAAAAAACTAGTTGAGGATACAAAATCCTGTCTGTGGGAAATAGATTTTTTGAGGGTATTTCAGAAGTTCTTATGGGATTGACGAAAACTTTTGAATTTTCGTACCTAGAAGAAGAATACATCAATAGTTATAGTTAGAAAAACGAGGACTTAAAAATCTTAGATATTGAAATACAAAAGTCACTTTTACTAAAAAACACTACATCAAAATCGGTTAAAAATCAATATTAAAAATTCCGTTAGTATTTCGATTGTTTGTATTGGAAAAGGTGATTCGATCGAGCTGAAAATTTCAGAAAATACTAAATTCACTACTCTCTATAACATATCAAAAAATCAGCGAATTCTGAAATGTCACTCCATCGTCGATGTCCTATAGTGACTGATTTTCTCAGGCACTTACTCTTAAATAGTACTTGAGATGAAATTCCTCCTGGCATAATTTCAGTATCCATCTTAAAACTATTCGAAAGCTCGTTATTGATTTGCAATTTAGCTTTCGTATTTTTTTTCTGTTCGTTTTTAATAAATTGATTATTTTCTCGGTTGGTCCATAATGTCTATAAATTGTTCCATAAGAATTCTCTGTCCACTGCATTATAAGCTTTGTAGATATCAACGAAATACATATGTAATGGTTTATTGTATTTTCGGCATTTGTGCATTACTATTATCAATGTAAAGATTCTGACTAGTTGTAGATCTATTTGATCGAAAACGTACTTGTTCTTCCAACAATTAATTATTCATCACTGTTTGATTATGGTCCAATGATACGCGAGGAAATAATTTGCTAACAACTGACAATAGGGTGATGACACGGTAGTTATTACAAGAATTTCTTATTTTTTTTTTGTTCTCGAACAGACAGATTACCACAGCTCAATTTCAATTGTCTATCATTTCTTCATTATTTCAAATATAAACAAATGTTCAATGAAGCCTATTGAATGTTGTACATCTACCTGCTTAAAATAAATCTGTGGTGATTTTATCATAACATGTTGCTTTTCCGTTGTTAAGCTATTTGAACTTCGACCAGAGTTGAAGCATTGTCTTGTTTGTTGTTTTCAATTGCAGATATAGGAACTAATTTGATTTCATCCATAACACTTGGATCAGTTACAGAATTAACACTTAGGAGTTTGCTGAAAAACTGTCGGAATCGTTTCAATCTCTCTCTCACTTGCATTACTTAATATTTTTCCGTGTTTATTTAATATAGGCATATTGTCAATTCGTTGTTTATCTCCACGCAAACGCCGAATCCTTGCATAAGCAGTAATTAGATCATACGATTTAATAGTCTGTTCTATATTCTCGTTCAAATTATTTCAATATTCAATCTGCCATTGTCAAGTTTTCATTTCCACTAATTTTCTTATGCCCACATATTTATCTCGATGTTGTTTTTTTTCTGACACTGTGACAAATATTTTCAGTCAACTATTCGTTGCATTATGTTTTACTGTTGCTATCTAATTTGAAATGTGTTGCTACTATTTCCTTCATACGATTCATAAATTGTTCATATGTCTCATTGATATTTCGATAGTCATTTTTCAAGAGAGAAAATTTTTTAGTTAGATTATTCGGAAAACTTAATATTCTTTCCTCATGTTTGATTTTCGTTCAATCGAAACGAAATTGTCTATATATGTCAATATTTTCGATTTCAAATGAAACTTAATTTTAATTCTCATTGAATGATGATTAGTTCCAACAACATGTACTGCACTCCTATAGAAACGAACATCTTGCAACACTAGACCTGAAGTTTTTATTGGCTAATGTATAATGTAATGTATACTACTGTTTGTTGTCAAAATGCATCCATAACTGTTGATGAAATTGGTTATGTTGGAAAAATGAATTTAAGATAACAAGATTGTTCGTGATAAGCAGAAATCAAACAATCTTTCTTCGTTTTTAATATAACAATCAATTGCTAAAAATGCCACAGTTTGTGGTTAAGTCATATGATTTGAATTGCCTACATGAAAATTAAAATCATCCATTAAGATAATCATATCTATTTATTCATAATCAGTATGCTCAAAGATGGGTCTCGAGTTCTCTAGAAATTCTGAGACTCACGAATATTGTAGAGAACTTATTTTCTTCAAATCCTTATTACAAGAAGTTTTCTCCATTCAAATCACTTTTTGTAAGCTTCATACGAGTCAATATTAGAAAAAAAATCGAACTTAAATCAATATGATAAATGTTTCGACACATTTGATATCACAGTCAAAAAGATTTGGTTCTATAGGGCCTTTCTTCCTATCGTTCACTTATAAGAGCTAGATAACCAGTCTTTGTTAAACTATTATTATTTGATTATTCTATCCGAAATTCATAACTTTGTGTAAGATTGTCTTTGGATGACTCTATCTATCTTTGGTATAGTGCTTTTTCTTGTTTACACTTGATAATCCAGATGATGAAATGCATTGAATGATGGGCGTATCTTTTGAACCTTGTTCAAGACTTGTGATCTAAAATCATTGGTACATACAAGATACAGTATTGGCATAATGTAAAAATGAAATCTCATCATGAATATATGCATAAAACATTACAAAAAAAGAAAGGTTCGAGCGAGGTTTGAACTCGCGACCTTCTGCGTGTAAAGCAGACGTGATAACCGCTACACCATCGAACCGATAGTATTCATAGTAGGATACAGAAAAGGAGTTTTAATCATAGTTTTCTCATAGAAAAAGACTCAGAAATACATTTGTTTTAATTAAAAAGTGTGTGGGTGTGAATGTCAGAACTTTCACTAGGACACTCATACTTATCCTGATCATATATGATTATTGATAAATAATATAGACCAACGAAGAGATCATCTCTTGTCATTGTTTCTTATCACTCACTATATATTAGCTTTTGTCATTTGCATTCATACTGACATCATCTAAAGTATGTGAAACAATCTACTAAGTATAGACGTTGTCTAATTCAATGAGGCGAGTGATGTCATAATCCCGTTACATCGGGTATCCTCCACGAAACACGGAGAGTAATCGGGTATTCGAATGAAGCGTATTCACGCCTATCTAATCCTCACCACACTGTGGAGTAATCACTTCATCTATTATGCAGATGGTAATGCCATCAATCAGAGCAATGGATAACTATATATCTTGAAAGTTAAGTGTTTTGAGTGGTTTTGGTGTATTACCCCGAGAGGAATGACATCCATTAGAGCAATAGATAACTACATATGTTTAAAGTTGAGCAGTTTGTGTGATTTTGGTGTGTGCAGTTAATATTGATTGGGTAAATTGGTAGAATGGGTAACTATCCGTTCGAAAATTTGGGCGTTTTCAGTGATTTATGTTAATGACGACAAGCGTGTTGACGTGTGTCTGGTGAACTGACCAGTATGTTTACTAGACTATGAGGCTTATGAGTTGTTTGGTATTGATTTCTGTGTTGTTATAGCGGAGCGTATGTGGTTGGCTAATTGGTTTGTTGTGTTTTGTTTTTTCGGTGAATATTTACTAGTGTAATGCGTCCTCGGATGACAGTGCATAAAGTTTGTGATGTGGGGTGCACGCTACTATTGCGCTCCGCTACAGAATTTGTATTGGATTTCTTTTGTCTGTTGCGGTGTTTTACTATGGCAGGTGTTTGTAGGGTGTGTCTGGGTGTGGGGTACGTTGTGGTTGAGAGGAAGAGTAATACGGTGACCCACACGCACGTACATGGCACTCGTACCCTCACTCAACTTGCTGACCCAGCCCCATGCAGACACACGGCGAGACGACAGTCACAGCTTTATCCGCCAACACCCATACGAACAAGCCACCCTCTCACCCGAAACCGTTCCCACGCATAGAGACACCAGCAACGAAACTAATATCCGCATCCACATCCACACCCCGACACCCACCCACATCCCACCCCACACTCACCACACCCACACCCAGCCTCAATCTAGCTATTAAAAAACTAGGATTTTGGTTTTCTGAAGACTTTATGTTTGAGAATCTGATAATAATTTTTATTTCCTTATATTCCTTTTGGAAACGATTCTCTTGATTTCATTCACGATTTGGATGCTTTCTAACGTTCATAGAATTATAACATCAGATTCATTAATATTTATTATTATGTTCAAGAGAATAAATTTACAAGGGTAGTTTTGTGTTAGATTCCTTTTCTATTCAAATACTAATAATAAAACATTTTCTCAGCAAATGGTGACAGCTTGGAACATTCAAAAAATTTTCTAGAATAAAAAAGATTTATCAATTATTTTAACTTCATTCAATTTTCAGATATAAATCCTAAAACTTAGACCCATTTCTGATTCAATATATTGTTTGAAAACTCACACTCAATCGATATTCACTGATTCACTTGATATATTCATGCTGCATGGTTGTGTCAATACTTGAGTGAACACAGATCCAGCATAGTCATTGTCTGTCAGTTAGAGACGTGAGAAATCAAATGTTTTGAACTTCGATTTCAAATTTTTTTCTTCTCGTAAATTAGCGACAGCTTACACATATTTAGAGATACTATGTAATTTAAGCTTAGTGTACTATCACCAATCAGATCTGATTTGAGAGCATTGCGAGCGAATCAATAGATATGTTAAATTTAAAAAAAAACGTAAATTGATTAATTTTTGAATATGCTTGTGTATTCAAGATTTTTCTGCGAGAAGAAAATCTGAATTTAATAAGCAAAGAAGACAATTTTGTTAAATTAGTATCATAAAAAAAGTCACAAATGACAATCGATTTTCGGACTCTCATATAGGTCTCTACTGTCAATGTCCCAATGGCTGCTGATCTAGTGTAGTCAGTATATCGGTAGACTCACTGTCGATAAATTAATGTCAATATTTTCACTGAAACTACTTATCCCTAATTAAAAATTATTAGTTTTAGTTGTGAGTCGTGCAGTGTCAAAAAAAAATCGTTTTGTAGTTCGACTTTATGCTTTTTTTTTTTTGTATTTATTCATTGATATCTAAAGCTTTGGTTATTCGTATATGATGATAAAAGAGTGACAGAATAGATTCAACTAATGATAACATGAAAAAAAAAAGAAGTCGCGTTCTTCATTTCGTTTATTATCGAGTATTTTAGTTATTTAGTAGGTTATCATGACGACATCAGAGATTACAGTGAAAGAATTACTTATTTATCCAATAAAATCTTGTGGTGCTATTAAAGTTAATGAAGCACAAACAACTCGTTATGGTCTTTCACTTACATCAAATCCTTTACTCTCCGATCGGTATATATAAATATTCAAAAAAATAACAACATAAATCATGAGGTTTATTCTATCTAGACGATGGATGGTAATAGAAGGAGCTCGACAACGAAATCAGCGTCATATGCCTCGAATGGCATTAATTCAACCAACATTTACTTCATCAGGTCTTCAAATTGATGCACCTGGAATGGCAACATTAATGATTCCTTATAGTCCATTACCAAAAGATATTATAGAAATAGAGTATATTTAATAAAAAATAAAACTTTTTGTCAATATTATTATTATATTTTTATAGAGATCTTAATATTAAAGGTCGAAGATATGGTGGTAAAATTGCTGAATGGTTTTCGACATTTCTAGAAAAACCAGACTTAGATTTAATTTATTTTGATGAACAATTTGAACCACAACATACAAAAAATATTGAACCAGAATTTCCAAATGAAGCACTTGATTCAGATGTCGTAATATATCACGATATGAGTCCATTTCATTTAGGTTCATTAGAATCAATCGATGATCTTAATAAACGATTAACAAATCCAATTAAAATATATAATTTTCGACCAAATATTATTGTTAGTGGTGTTGATAAACCATATGGCGAAGTAGAATA